AGAGAGAGAGAGAGAGAGAGAGAGAGAGAGAGAGAGAGAGAGAGAGAGAGAGAGAGAGAGAGGTGATTGCAGATTGGTGGTGATTCAAGTTGAGTGAAGGAGGAACCGATCAGTTATCATGCCGATCACACCGATTTACACGTGGGAGGAGAACGAGAGGGTGGTGGTCATTCGAATACCACTGCAGGGGGTTAATAAAAAGGAGCTGGATGTATCTTCAACGGAGTGGTTCGTGAGTGTGAATTGCCCGCCCTATCTTTTCCAGGTTGATCTGTTTGGTGCAGTGGACGACAAAAAGAGCTCAGCAGTTTTGGACAAAGAGGGAGTGACTCTTTCTCTTGTGAAGAAGGAGGTTGGGATATGGGGTCAGATAGCAGCCACAGGGTCAAAGGCGGAGTTGCTGACTCGTCGATTAGCTTCAATCGAACGAGCGAGAGAGAGAGCGGAGGAGGAAAAGAAGGAGAGGAGGACAAAGAAATCGCAAACTGGCCGCTTCTTCGTGGAAAGGCAAATGAAGCTGGATGCAGAGAGGCGGCGTCTTCTGGAAGAGAGAAAGGAGGCAGATCTCTCTGCCGCCAGGCACGACCTGTGGAAATGGCGTGCAACGGCCGACACTCCCGAGCACGAAGACGAAGACGAAGGAGAGGAAGAAGACTTTTCTGGCAGAACGACGACGTCCACCTCTCCCCGTCTCCCTCCAACTCCTCGTCCTCTGCGACAATCCCTTGGCGCGTTCGATGATGCTGCCACGTCAGACGATTGTGATCAGCAGTCCCCCTTGCGCACCAATGGATCTGCGGGTTTTGACCTTGTACCAGAGAATGCCAAGCCCAAAGGGGAACATGATACAGCAGCAGCAGCAGCAGCAGGAGGAGGAGGAGGAGGAGGGGGAGGAGGAGGAGGAGAATATGCTGTTGAATCGTCAATATACGACGGACTTGCAGGAAGGGGAGTGGGAGGTTCTTTTTTTTCTCAAGGGAAAAAGAAGACGCAGTCGATTTTGTTGGAGGATCGCAAAAAGCGACGGCCAAAGCAAACAGTTCGATTCTCCGACGAAGTCTCCTCGGATGCCTCTCTCGAGTCGCATTCATCAACTGGTAGAGATGGAGGTGGTTTTGGGAGCCATGACGATGGCTGCGATACAGCGAAGAAGAGCAGCAGGAAGTCAGCCACGCTGAAGCCTGTCGACGAAGGAGAGAGGGGTCAATTGCATCCTGTTTCTGTTACAGATGAAACTCAGCGGCAGCCCGCACTCGCGCAGAAGCACTTGACAACGACGTCGCCTTCGAGCGACGCAGCTGCAGCACAGAGTGTGGTCCTTGGCTATGGTGGATATGGCGGCTCGACTGGCGAGAGGGACGACTCCCTCGAGGATGACGATCTTGTGAGGGTGCGCAGCATTGTTAGAGCGCGGACTGACGTCAACCGAAAAGTCTCGGAGGTGGAAGATGATCGTCGTCAAGACAGGGCCGCAGTTGGGAGAGAGAGAGAGCAAAGAGCTTCCCCTGCTTGTGATCCGCCTTCCAGTGAAACTGTTTTTTGGGCTGATTTGGGGAAGAAAGGGGGGTCACAGAGGAAGGTGGGAGGAGGAGGAGGAGGAGGAGGAGGAGGAGGAGGAGGAGGAGGAGAAGAGTTGCTGCGCCCTATATCTCATCGACGGTTCAAAATGTTCGAAGAGAAAGTGTTACCACCGCCTCGGAATCTGGTCGTCATTCGCGTCAGTTTCACGCCCAAATGCCCGAGCCTTCCGGCGAGAGAGAGTAGAGAGAAGGAGATTGAGTTGAAGTTGAAGAGAGAGCGTGATGAGAAGGACAACGAGAGTGTGGACATGGCAGAGCGGATCCCGGTGTTTCTTAAAGATAAAGGAGACGCTTTGTACAAACAGGGAAGCTATGAGGGTGCCATTCACGCGTACACGAGGGCCATCGAGAAGAACAGCAAAATGGCGCTGTGTTACGCAAACCGTGCGTCGTGTCGACTGAGGACTGGAGATTACCAGGCGTGCGTTGAAGACTGTACCAAGGCTTTCGAGCTTTTGACCCAGGAGCTGTCAGAGTTGGAACAGAAAAGAGAGGAAGAAACTGAACATGATGGCCAAGGGGTCTACGGATCGATAGGAGAGAAGAGCCGCGAATACTTGCGCGAGCATCGCAAAGTATGCCGAGTTTGTTGTGGTCTAGTTCCAGCCAACATGGCCGATCAACCTCCCGGCTTCGCTGCAGCAGCAGAGACTCCCTCCTCCTCCTCCTCCTCCTCCTCCTCCTCCTCCTCCTCCTCCATTATGGCAGCAGCAGCAACTCCTTCCTCCTCCTCCTCCTCCTCCATTATGGCAGCAGCAGCAGCTCCTTCCTCCTCCTCCTCGTCCTCCTCCTCTGCAACACTCGTAGCTTCTTCCTCCTGCTCCTCCTCCGCTGTAGCAGCAGCAGCGCCTTCCTCTTCCTCCTCCTCCTCCTCCTCCTCCTCTGCTGTCGTCACGTGCACTGCCTCTACGCCTTCGCCGATTGATGAAAACATGACGTCCCTCGTGTTGTCCGACCCCCAACGGCCGTCGCCATCAAACGCTGACACGTCATGCTCTCATACAGACACTACTTTCTCTTCCCCTTCTTCCCCTTCTTCCTCCTCTTCCTCCTCTTCCCTCTGCTTGCCGTCCTCGTCAGTCTCGTCGTTGCCCAGGACTGAGCAAGACCTTTCTTGCCCTGTGAAGCCCAGCAAGGCGAAAGTGAAGGCGTCGCTCGTCAAGGTGCTCATGAGGAGGGGCGCTGCTTTGTGTGAACTGGGTGATTTGCACAAGGCGTCTGAGGACTACAAGCAGGCCGTCTCTCTAGATCCTGGAAACGAGGAGGCAGCACAGAATCTCCTAGAAATATTAGAGTGTCTGGACCCTCTGGACTCTGAGGGACTGATGCGACGCGGAGATCGCAAGTACAAGCAAGGTCAATTGGAGGCTGCCAAGCTGTCGTACACGCAAGCACTGTCGCTTCCTGCAGCTGCTGCTGATGTCAGGCGTAAGTGCTATGCCAATCGAGCAGCCTGTCATTTCCGATGCCAGGACTTCACTACCGCCGTAAAGGACTGCGATCGTGCGCTTCGGTGTCTCCTCTTTCCCGATCTATGCGCTAAATTCATTCCCATTACCAAGCGTAGTTGCGATACCGGCAATGATCGCGGCGGCAAGGGTCCGCACAACCTTCCAGATTCAGAAGAGAGACAACGACAACAACAGCAGAAGCAGGAGCAGCAGGACGAAGAGGAGGAGGAGGAGGAGGAGGAGGAGGAGGTTCAGAAAGAACAGAAGGGTTGCCGGCAGGGAGAAAAGAAACAGCATTGCCAACCGAAAGGAGAGGAAAGCGAGGTTGAAGAAGAAGAAGAAGACGAAGAGGCCCGAGAGATGGAGAGAGCTCACTCGGCGGCCATAGCCGTCGCAATCAAGCTGGCCAAAGAGAAGGGGAAGATAGTGGAGGGGGTCAGCAACAAGCGAAGAAGCCTGAACAACGCTGCCCTACCGAACGCGATTCCCAGCCTCTCTTCATCCCCCGCCCACTGGTCGGGGGGTGTTCGAGAGGGGGGAGAGGGGGGGAACTGCCCTCGAGCCCAACCACAGCCGGCGGGGCCTCTCGATCACATCCCCAACTCCAACCTCGTTGCTACTGCTGCCAACGAGTCGACTGTCGGCCCCGAGCAATCTCAGCCGTTGGTCGTTGATGGAAGATGGTCCTCGGGCGACGCCAACGACTGCGAGAACGTCGGCTTCGAGGGCCCGGAGTGGGATCTGGACAAGATCAAGGATGCTGGCAGCAAGCCCAGGTCGCTCATCAAGCTTCTGTCGCGCCGTGCCTCTGCCAACGCTCACCTCAGACGATACCAGCAGGCCAGGGCAGACCTACTTGCCGCTTTGGAGCTGGGGAAAGCTGCCGGCGATCAGCAGCTCGTGGACGATCTTTCCCACGACTTGCTGACCGTCGATTCTATCATCAGCAAATAAATCTCCGTTATGATCGTCGACCGTCGATTTCTAACAATGCTCGCCACTGGACGATACGAGGAGTCCCAAGGCATACCTACGTGGGACAAATGGGGACAAATGGGGACAAATTGGGACAAATTGGGACTCGCGGAAGGTGTCCGTGATGAGCTACTACCGTCTTCCCCCGAACACAACGCACCCTGGACGAGCTTTCTTCTCTCACGACTTGCTGACCGTTGATGCTTTCATCATTCATCAGCAAATCTTCTCTCTGATCGTCGATTCCATGATCAGCACCTATCTTCTTCCCGACCGTCGATTTGTATCATCAGGAAGCGTAAAACCATAGCCAGGAAGCATCTGCGTTCCTCCTCCTTTCCACTGTCCCCCGCAGGCAGCTGCACCCCCGGCTATGTGTCATGATTTGTTTCTCTTTCTACCCTTCTGCGTAAATTGAGTCACTTACTAATTTTTCTTTTTCTTTTTTCTTTTTTATTATTTTTTGACTTATTAAATTACTGTTACTGTTGTTTCTCTCTTGTCAAGTTTGAAGGGTTTTTTTTTTTTGAAACTTCATATACGGGAAACCTACTTGGCGAGGTGATAAGAGCATCCCCGGCAAGTAGGTCCCAGCGTTGAAGGCTCCATCTATTGGTGGGGAGCTGCACCTGCTGGAAATCGGGTCCAGCGTCCCTATGCAGAGATGCGTAGGTAACTCCATCTGCCTACGTGTATGCGCGTTTAACCAATATATGTCAGATGATGGGAGAACCCTATCCCTCTGATCAAAAGAAGTAGTATGATCGGAATGGGACGCTGGACCCGGTTTCCAGTCTTCGGTTTTTATAATAGCTGGACTACAGTCTTCCCTCGAACAAAACGCACATATGTACTATTCATCTTTCCCTGGAAAACTCGATTTTTCGAAGTAAAAAAGTATCTCGAAACCAAACTGAGTCATGGAAGCCAATCTAACGAGGCCTGAGTGCCTATCACTTACAGTCCATCTACTTATAGCATTATGCAGGGTCTGTTACGTCATTGTTGACAGTAGCCCCGTGCTGCATGAGTTGCAGTTGAAGTTGTTTCTAGTTGTGCCTCTTGTCCCATAGTGGCACGTATTGAGTGGTTTGAAGTTCAGACTCTCAGAGTTTAAACCCATTTTCTTCTGTTTTCCTTTTTCAAGTCTCTCTGAGCTTGTGGGACATCTCCTTGGTCGCCCTTTCTTGGCGGGGGGGGGGGGGTTGGGGGCAAGATTCATACATAGGTAGCACCACCTAATTTGCTCCCCAATTTGCCTCTGTACGGATGCAGCTGTCCGTGTCCTGGTACGGACGACGATGACGGTTGCCGTACGGACCTCCAGGTACACGATGAGACAGGAATCACACTCGTTTTCACAGCCCAAAAATAAGGCAGGAAGAAGGAAAAAAAGCCAGACAATGCAGGCGTTTGCCCAAATGACCCCTCTTTTTCTTTCTTTCTTTTTTTCTGTCTGGATCGGCACAGCGAAATTGGAAATTCTTTCTTTTTGGAACTTGCATTCTTCTTGCTATCTTTTTGGCCCCCTTCCCTGTGTTGATTGTCTGCCCACACACCTCCCCCGTGCCCTCCACCCTGCTATGTCTTTTGCTTCACTGTCTTTTGTGCCTCCCGCCTTGTGTTGTTCGTCTCCCCACCCACCTCCCCCGTGCCCGCCAGCCTGTGTGCCCTTGCAGTCCCTGCTGCTGCTTGACGTCCAATGTCAGACGACTGCCTCCCTCCGGTCGCTTCACTCTTCTCTCTCACTCTCTGCATTTTGGTGAACGGGGGTCCTGCGATTGAACTTCCAACTGGGACGGTCGTGTAGCAGGTAACAGTGGACCCACAGTGTCTCATGGAAAACAAACTCAGACGTCTCGGGGACCCTATATGATTGAGGGGGGTAAATGCAAGACCTGATTTGGGCAAGGGGAAAAAAAAAAAAAAAAAAAAAAAAAGGGATTTCTAACTGGATTGTCGTCTCAGAGTCGCCGGTCAAAGTCCGACGAAACAGTCTGGCACAGTCATGCTTTTTTTTTAGTGCATATTTTTAGTGCATAACGAATATGACTACCAGTAAACACACATTTGAATGAGCGTCATTGAGAGAACAGACAAAATATAATTATTAATTAGTAATTACCCTTTTACTCTGCCTCTTTTTATAGCGTGCAAGTGGCCCGTAAAGGCACACGGGGATGTGGGCAGCTAGCGCTCAACCATCATCAACGTGGCCAGCCTTGTACGTGATAGGCACAGTAAGAAGGTAACTACAAAAACGAAGAAAATGGGAGGCCTCCCAATGCCAGCTGATGAAAATATAATCAAGAAAACAACGATATAACAAAGTTATTGTGTCTCGTATTGTTTCTACTGCTGGGTTGGCCCATCTTAAAAGCGTGTTGCATTGCTTGTGTAAAGGTGAGATTCCTTGCTTGTTGAAAGGTAAGGTTCTGAATAGATTTTGTCCTTCGGGACATATGTTAAAATTGGAATGATACACAGAGAGAGAAGATTAGCATGGCCCCTGCGCTTTCAAGGATGACACGCATCAATCGAGAAATGGTCCAATTTATATAGATATTGACTTCACAAGCAAAACTGTTTCATTGGTGGATTGGCTCATCTTGAGAATGCTTCATTGTCTGCAATACAGGAAGAAATAAGTAGCTATGACTTTGGATCTGCTCATCTGGGTGTAATAGGGGAAGTTGTGGTGATATTTTATAACACACACATGTACACACACACACACACACACACACACACACACACACACACACACACACACACACACACACGCGCATACAGGGGTTGACAGGAAACGGAATATTACAGGGACAGAGGAAAAACGGGGAACAGCAGTAAGAACATCTGCTTTCTGAGAACCCTCCCCACCATTTCGCAGTATACCCCCCTGATTGATTCCGAAAGGGTATTGTTTTTCCTTTTTTCTTGTTGTCCTCCCTTTTTCTTCCCTTTTTCCTTTTCTTTCTTTTCTTTCTTGTTTTCTTTTTCCTTTTTCCTTTTCGTTTTCTCGTTTCTTTTTTTGGCGTCTCTTTTTTCTTCCTTCTGTTTTTTTCGTTTGTCTGCACTTCTTTTGCCACCAATATTGTACCAATACAAGGAATAAAACGATTCAGGCTCCCTCGAGCCAATCACCACCAGAAAGAAACCCCCCCCCGAGAGCTGATGAGACATGTATGGGTTGGGGCTCACTACGCATACGCAGCAAAAAAGAATGAGAAGCGAATTGATACGGTCCGAAGATTCGGCGGTAGTACCACACATCGTGCCCAACCCCATGGTCAGTCGAGTGGTGTTACAACCATTCATGACCAGTTATCAAACGGGATCAGAGCAAATATAGACCTCAGAAGAGGCGAAATTCCATGCGTGCAAAAATCATATATGTTATGAAATCTACACAAATATAGAGACGTCATTGAATTTGGAATGTTATGGTTAAGCGAACGGTGGTAGTACCATCCATCGTGCTTGACCCCATGGTCCGCCGAGTGGTGTTACAATCGTTCGTGACCAGCTGGAGTGAAGATAAAAAAGAAAAAAGGAAAAAGGAAAAAGGAAAAAAAAGGAAAAAAAAGAAAAAAAAGAAAGAAAGAAAAAAGGAAAAAAGAAACAAGGAGAGAAAACGAAAAAAAGAAAAAAGAAAAAAGAATTCAAGAAAGAAAAAATTCCGAAGCACACAAAGAAGCAGTCATACATATTGTAGTGAGGAGGTATGAAATCCACACGATCGAAACACACAGATACCGAGAAACCACCGTAGTCGGTCGACGAGCTGAATCAATTCGAAGTTCCCCAATAAGGACAGCAAGCGGGGGCAGCAGGAGTGGAATGGGGGGAGAGAGAGAAGTAGACCGGCTGCATTCCCAGAGACGTCTCCACATAATATGGGAGATGGCCTCAACAGCCAAAGCAGGGAGGGTAGTGGCAATCCCTGAAGTGCTTTTCTGCCGTTAGCCACCATTGCACGGCTTCATCAGAGGGAAAACTCCTGCTATGGACGTTTGTGTAATGTGAGGGGTGGAGGGGGATGTAGAGTCTGCAAATGGTGTAAGAAGGCTAGAAGCGCGAGAAAAGCAAGCAAAGCAACGAAGGCTAGGAGGATGAAGGCAGAAATTTTGACAGCGACTAGAGCTCTGTTCTATGCGTCATCCTTTTGCAGTGTCATAGCCAGCAGCGTGAGAGTTTTCGCGAGCGCCCACCGTAACAACTCGTAGGGGGCGACTATCAAAGCGAGCATGCCTTCCGGCGCGCGCAATGCAAACAAGCAGAGCGAGCGTTGGCAGCGCGTGCAATGGCTTGTGCCTGCACCGTGTAACGGCAGTGCTCAACGCAGAGGAAGCAGGCAAGAAAAGGTAAGGTGCGCGCGCATAGAGGAGAAGCCGGGAGCTATACCGCATCTTCGGGGTTGCCGATCAATTGGTCCACCATAGCCGGGTCCACTTCGTAGTCCATAGCTCCTGAAGCCGCAGCGCGTGAGTCCTGAAAACTCCGAAACTGTCTTCACAGCCCTCAATCGGTACTCCCCTGGAATTGCGCTCATCTGAAAAGTCGTACGTCCCTTGGCTCATTAGTGCGCATGCGTTCTGAACGAAAAGATGGGAGACAACGGGCGCGGTCTATCCCTAAAATAGTCCCCTGTCGTAGCGTGGCGTTTCGCTTTTCCTGCTTAGTGCTGGTTTCGATCGTGAAAATATAGAAGATGTCCTCTCAATATCTGGTTTGCGAACGCATGATTTGCATATCTCATCGCAATAGCATGCATAATCTCTTTATGCGCATCCGGAATCTCGCCTGGAAAATAGTCACGAACGGTTGTAACACCACTCTGCTGACCGAAGGGCCGAGCTCGAGGGTTGATATTACCTCCGTTCGATTAGCCACACCAACTTAGGAAATGCGATCAAGGGTAAGATCCTATTCTATGCAACGACTGATTGAAGGATAGAGATTTCCTTGCTTGTTTCTGCATGTGTTGCATTACTAGCTACTACCACAATAGATGGCCTATGAGATGTCCGTATTT